AATTCCCCATGCTTGCTGGGGAATTCTGGGAGTTGAAGTCCACACAGCTTAAAGCTGCTGAGTCTGAGAAACATTGCTTTAAAGGACCATGATAGATCCAGTCTCCACACTATGGAGTTCAAGAGATGCTCAGTGGAAAATGTTTGTTTTGAACCAAGGAGGTAAGCACTATCACTGGAGAGTGGCTTTGGGGTCTAGAGTAGCCATAGGATGCTGGTTAGGCATCAACATATACATTTATGGTGTCAACCTGTCGTTGCTTGCAACTTTCTCCCTGCTTGCCTTCACAAGTTACTCTTAAATCAAGAGAATTCTTCCAAAGTGTTTTCTCTCCACCGTCTGCATGTGCCTTCTCTGAGCAGAGAGCTGCAATTCTTGTCGGATTATCAGCTGGACAGAGCTCTTAGAAATATTATTCACTGGAAAAGTTGGAAGAGATTTTTTTTTTAATTATGACACTTTTAATTGCGGGGAGGAAAACTGAGTTTGGAGAACTCTGCCTCTCAATTGATTTCACTGCTGTAGGTCTTGGCTAGCTGGCTGGCAGGACACTGGATGGAAATTAACCTGAGCAAAAGGTAGTAAAGTCCTGTGAATACCTCTCAGGGTCCCAGAATGATAGGTTAAGAATCCACCTGTGCTTGGGGGACCTCTAGGCTGGTAACCTCTGTGTCTCCCTGTCACTCTCAAAGGACCCAGCCAGGGATCATTTTTTGGTGTATCTGGAGCATATGCAAAAAAGAAAAATTCTGCCCAGTTGCACAGTCTCTTTGGTTCTTTCATGAGCTCAATTTTCCAATGGAAGAATTGTCATTTTTGTTCTGGGCGGAACTTTGCCAAGGAGGGAAACTGACCTGAGACTTTGTCGTCTGACCTTGGCGTTAATTTAAAAGACTTCCAAGACACAAGCCCTTTTGTTGAGCTAAAAATAGCCATTTATAAAAACTGGGTTTTAAATACAGCCCCTTATCCTCCCTCCCTTTGTAATGTCTCAGTTCACTTACACAGCTGTCCCTCATTCATAAACAGAGCCCTTTTCTCGCAGTCCCCCCTCCCTTGCCCCTCGCCCCAAATTAAAACAAGGCAAGCACAGCTGGTTCTATTTACAAGTCACAAAACAGGGAAGAAAAGTGTGTCCAGAAGATGGAGAAATGGGGCAGGTGGGTAGAAAGGGGAAGATTGATTCTTTCCGCCTCTGTATATGTGTGTGGATGCACACACACACACGTGTGTGTAAAGGTTGCACCGTGAGAGAAAGAGAGATTTTGGTTTTCCTTCCAAAGGGGTTTTTAGGAAGTGTGGTTACTGGTGCTTCGCTTTCGGATGCAATACTCCCAGGGCTTTTTGGGCAAATCTGGGATGGACAACAGGATGAAGCAGGCTCCCCCGAAGATCAGAATCACCCCTGCAGACACTGCACAAGCCACAGACCAGGAATACTCATATTCCAGGGGGATGGACTCATTGGAGGTGATCAGCCACCGAACCGATTGTCGGAAAAGCTCCAGAGTCACCAATACCATCAGTCCTGCAAGGAAACCAAAAGAGAGAGAAGACAATGTGGGGCAGTGTTTTTCAAACTTGGCAACTTTAAGAAGTGTGGACTTCAACTTACAGAGTCCCCCAGGGAATTCTGGAAGTTGAAGTCCACACATCTTAAAATTGCCAAGTTTGAAAAAACACTGGTGTAGGGTGTTCCCCGTGCGACATTTCCAGTTGTGAATCAAGACTACAAACAAGCTGTATGGAAAGCCTTCTGGAGGGGCACTGAATTAGAGTTAACTGGGCCACCTGGAAGGGCCTTGTGTGGCTCCTTTTATCTATCCTTAGGTGGAGCTGTTGCCTACTTATGTTTTAAGGAATATCGTGGTTAAAGGAACACCCCCACTCCCCCCAACCCATATACTTCAGGAAAGAGAAGAACATTTTGCAGAATTCATACCTGATATTATAAAGAAGCAGGATGCTGGCTTCAGGAGGAACTCAACTCCTTTGCTCAGGGCCATTGTGATGCAGAGAGACCCCATGGCCATCAAGGTGATGCTGAGGAGGGACACAACGGCTGCCGTGATGTTCAGTTCTATGCAACGTTGCCAAGCAGGGGAGAAAAAGTTGTTTCATTCCACCCAACATTTCACAGAGGAAAACAGGGGCATACTGGCAGGATACCTAGTGCCCTATTTCTGCTGTGGCCAGCAAGGAATCTTCAACATGTAGAGAAGGGTGCCTCCCTCTACATGTGTTGACTGTCAAGTCATAATTCCTGTTAGCATGGCCATAGCCCAACACAACCAGAGGTATCAGGTTGGTGAAGGCCATGTTAGAGCATTACACCAACACACACTGGTGTGAATATCACACATAAATGTGATGCTCAGGGCTAAAATGTGAGCAATCACTGGGTGCAGCACAGAAAGATATGTGCTTAACAGGAATGAGAATGGAAGAAGAAGAAGAGAGACAGAAAGCAGTGGAGACACAGGCCTGGATGGCAGACAAGTGCCAGAGATTCAGATAACAGCTGATGTGTGCGTGTGTGTGTGTGTATTCCCAAAGAGGGATGGCTATTTCTTCTCTGTCCCAGCAAACCTCAGTGTAATTTGAGTTCTTTTGAATAATACCCTGGGAGCATCTTCCATGATCATTTAAAGATCTTTTTTTGATTTAAAGCTGCAGTTAGAGCCCTAAAGGAAAGCTGCAGTGATTAATTGTTTGACATTTTTTAAAAGTCTAATGACTAAAAAAATGCTTAGATTTATTGGGTGGTGGGGTTCTTAAATTTAAAACCGTGAAAGGTGGCAGAAATTTGATTTCAACACAATTTGTAATTGGCTTATTGAATTGTGAATCTGCTGTTATAAATTCAATGTTCTCTATAGGTAGGAGATTATAAAGTGCTAGTACATTTCAGCACATGAGCATCAACAAACTGTATCTTAAGAACATTAAATTCACCATTCATTTTCTGATTGGCTATAATTATCTGGGCTTTGCTTGTTTTTGCTTTCCAAATGATTTGGACTTCAGTTTCCATAGTCCCCAGCCAGCATGGGTGACAGTCTGAGAATTATGGGATTTAGCCCAGCATCTAAGGGCAACAAATTTGGGATTGCTGCAACAGGAAATCAAGATGAAGCCAAAGAGGGAAGCAGGAACTGCAGAACCTGAAAAGCAGAAAACATGCTTATTCCTCACAAGTGCACAGTTTAAGAATTAAACCCAGAAATTGATTAAAATGTAGAAGAGCAACTAAGATTTAAAACTAAATTCAGTCTGCCTTGCTGTTAGGATTGAAGGTCATCAGGGGTGCTGCCTGGCAGGTGGCCAAGTATGAGACCTTCCTTGTGAGGTTGGGCCTTAAGGATCAGTTGAGGGTTTTGCTTTGTACCAGCCTCCCTGCCAACTCTGCTCAAGACCATATCTGGGCTGTTCCCCAGCCTTATGGTTCTGGGGAACTTCAATCTGCCATCCTTGGGGGTGGACTCGCAGGTGGTGCAAGAGTTCATGACCACCATGAGAACCATGGGCCTGACCCAGCGTATCATGGGCCTGACCCACAAGGGGTCACACATTGGACCCAGCTTTTGTCTTGGGGGGCAGTGGCTACATGATTGGGATGTTGCTTGTCCTCTGGAGTTTACCATAGCAGCCTTCCTCTGTAGGGAGGTGTGGCCTATTTAATCAGCTTGTCCCAGGGACCTAATGGGTTTCAGAGGAAGCGTGGGTGTTTTCCTGAGATTTTAATAAATGGTTTGATTGAGGCCTTAGTCACTGCCTGGAATGAGGTGGTGGGAGTGGCTTTAGATTGGATTGCGTGTATGCAGACTCTGTGTGCAGACACTGGTGTTCTTCCTGGATTTCTGTGAGTCTCCAGAGGATAAAGCGACAGAAGAGACATCTAGATCACCACTGGGAGAAAGCTAGGAAAGACTGACCAGACATAGATAAGAGCCTTTGTTAGAGCCCATGATGTGGTAATAAAGGTGGCGAAAAAGGTTTATTTCTCCACCCTTATTGCATCCTCCGAGTGTTGGCCACTAGCCCTGTGCAGGGTGACCTGGTCCCTTCTGGGTCAGGAGGGATTGCTGGAGCATCTGCCAGGTCCCTGTGAGGATTATTCTCAACATCTAGTGGATAACATCGCTCAGATCTGCTCTGAGTTGGATTCCAGCTGGACAAGTCCTGTACAGGTGGCCGAGGCACAGTTTTGTGATGTTATCAGGGATGAGTTTTAGTCTGTTAGTCCCGAGAAAGTGGACAGGGTCCTTGGAACTGTGGGTGCGGCCAACTGTATATTAAATCTGTGCCCTTCCTGGTTGTGTAAGCCCTCCAGGGACAGAGCATGTGGGTGGAAGCATGCAGTGATAAATGTGTCTTTGAGAGAAGGGACGGTTCCACTGGCTCTGAAAATGGTGGTGGTGCACCCTTTCCTCAAGAGACTATCCTTGGAGCCAGCTGATCTGGACAACTTTTATCCAGTCTCCAACCTTTTCTTTTTAATTTTCCTGGAGGAAGCAGGTTATCTGGGCCCTTTTCAGTCAGAATTCAAATTCAGACCAGGGTATAGTACTGAAAATAGCTTAGGTTGTGTTTGACAATGACCTGTAGTGAGCTTGGGATTGGGGTGGTGTAACCTCATCCTAACCTCACTGATTCACTTGCAAGGTTGTTATTATAGCCAGTCTCAATGTCTGACAGCCCACTAGGCAGATCAGATGAGGAAATCAACTCTACAGCAAGGCTAAAACTATTTTTATTGAGATTGGCTATAATAACAGAATCTTGCAAATCTGATGGTGCTGTACTACCTCCTCCTCCTCCTTATAGTTCAGTGAATCAGGGAGGTGTCTGCCTGAGCTGCTTCTGAATGTTATCTCCTTCTGTACTTAAAAAAATCCTTCAGCCCTTTTTGACTAGGCAATGGTTCCTGCATATCTCCATCAAGGTCATCTTCCTTACTCTCTACAAGTATCATCAACATTTAGATGATGCCCTGCTGTACACCTCTGCCATTAGCCTTCCAAGTGAAGCTGTTGAGGTTCTGTTCCAGTGTCTGGAGTCTGTGAGGGTCTGGATGGGGAAGAACAGGTTGTGGCTCAACCCTGCTAAGATTGAGTGGCCGTGGGTTCTGGATGTTCCGACTGGAGCATTTCTATCTTTGGTTCTGGACAGGATGGCCATGCCCTGTTAATACTTGATGAGCCTCCTGGACTTACAGCTCCTGCTTGAAGAGTAGGTGGCAGATGTGGCCCAGGCTGTGTGTGTTGCACAACTGTGTCTTGTGTGTCAGTTGCACCTGTCCTTGGACTGGGAGACCTTGCTCATGGTCACACCTTAGTCACCTCTCAACAGGACTACTGCAACACACTGTACATGGGGCTGCCTTTAAAGACCATCTGGAAGCTTCAATTGGTCCAGAATGCAATGGTGCTGGTATTTAGGGGCACAGTGACCTGCTCTAGATCCCAAGGGGCTTCTGGGTGCAATTCAAAGTGCTAGTTAAAGCCCTACATGGCATAGGACTGGGTTACTTGTGGGACTCCCTTCTCCCAAGAACATCTGCCCGCCCTACCTGCTGCCATAGGGACGGCATACTCCAGGTTCCTTCTTTTAAACATTGCTGTCTATGGGACCTAGGAAGTGTGCCTTCTCTGGGGCTGCCCCCCCCCCCCCCCGCCATCCGATACATGACAGGTCCCAACTCTGCTTGCTTTTAGAAAAGGTGTTAAGACTTCTTCGCCAGGCATTTGAGTCTGGTGGAGCAGAGTCCCCTTTGGGTTGTCTAATTATCCCATTGGGTCATCATTTTATATTTTATATATCAGGTTATCCTTTTTTAACGCTGTATGCTTATTTTCCTTTGCTTATCGTTTGTTTCTGTTGCAGGCCACCCTGTGTCACTTTGAGTTGGACAGTCCTATAAATCCCTGCAATAAAGAAATAACTACAAATAGAAAATAAAGAATTAAAGCAAAAAAAAAAAAAGTCCGGGCTTGCAAAAAGTTGCCATAATCATGCTTACCAGATGGACCGCAGGCTCAGAAAATGTAAATGTTAATTCATACTTGAATGTTGGTTTGAATAGGGAGAACACTGCATGTTCCGGTTACATTTGAACGGCAGGCTAGGACTGTGTTAATCATTTAGAGAAGTATGCCTCCCTCTCTCCCACTCCTAACAATAAAATATAATTAAAAATCATATCCCCCCACACC